CGGAAGGAAGGTTGGGCAATCCTACTTCCATAGTGATACTGCCTCCGAAAGCCAAGGAGGGGTCGCTATGAGTCAGGGCCGACTCGACGGCACATGACAACAACAACAACAACTTCCATAGTGATACCACCTCAAAAACCCAAGGAGGGGTTGCTTTGAGGCAGGTCTAACTCAACAGCAGTGAGTTTGGGTTTTGTTGTTGTTAATATATATGAACCCATTTTAATGAACAGTGAAATTTGGATTAATTCAACTCTGCTTTCTATGAGGTACAAGGCAGAGCAATCCCCCAAACACAATCTCTGTGTTCATATTTTAGCAGAGTGTGTTGATGAGGTGAAGAGGAGGGTGGGTCTGAGATTTTGCTTATAAAATGGATGAAAAGGGTTAGCTCAGCCAAGTAATAATTGAAATGGAAAATGGCTTAGGAGTGAGGGACTTAGTTTGTTCAAGGATAATAGCAAAACCAACCTTTTAAAGTACCACACCAAAAAGTACCTTTTACTAAATCTTTTGCATACAGCAAGGTGCTGTTTACAGATTCCAACAGAGAAGAATGAATTATTGACATTACCCTCCTCCCAGTATTGAATACCATAAAATTATGCCTTTAAAAATAGTGAAGTTTATTTGTTGTGCTAGATTCTACCCCCATTTGTTTACAATTGAGTACCTAAGAATTTTAAAGATCTTAATACATCTACTCCTCACTATTTGACCTATCTCATTACCTGACATTTCACATTGATGACGACTTTGAAAAAATTCTCAAGCGGCTTCTCCAGTGGTCAGCCCTATGCAGGGCTGTGGCCAGGCCTGGGGTGGCCCTCCACAGGCCACCCTGAATAATATAGTGGAGGCCCTAGCAATGACTGGGCCACATGAGGGATGGCAGCTGACTGGCTACAGGGTACCTTCTGTTCTGTGATGTTTCAGACTGGCCACAGAGGATGTGGGGCAATGGCAGTCATGAACAAGTAGGGGGATACTGGGAAAGTACCCAAAAAGTGCCAGGGAGGTAAAAATGGAAAGGGGGCCATGCAGTGCTATAGCACTGGGTCAGATGAAGGTGGATCATCGTCCCCATCCAGGGCAGGAGGTGGCAGGCAACGCCCCACCACCCACACTCCCAACCATTTGTGGGCTCTGCAGTGGTGGGGAAGGAGGGCCTGCTGCATTGCACACATCCTGAGGAGTGATGAAGGAGGAACACCAAAGGTACTGACTCTTGCATAACACCAATTTCACTTAACTTGGGTTTTAGAACCTGTGAGTAAGTGAAGAGTGGGTGTAATTCAGACAGAAAAAGTGTTTCAATATATATGAAACAGGTTGCACATTAGATACATGCAGCTTCGTTCTGTGTTCTGTCCACTGAGTTTGGGTTCAGAATTTCTTAACTGAGAATATGGTGTTGGTAATGAAATGGACAGAAAGCAAAAAGAAAAAAAAAATGAGTGCATCTTTCCTGCTATTTTTGAGATGACACCATTTCTAGTAAATGCTTTTGTGAGGCATACATTTATGATTTATAATTAAAGAATTACTTCTGAAAAATAACTTGTTTTCATGGTAATGAAACATTGCACATGTTTTGTTGGTTACAGTTCATTTTTTGAAACGAGACCTTCAATTACTTCATATTCTCAAAATTGAGTTTCCATGTTGTTAGGTGCAATTGAGTTGCCTACGAGTGATAGCAACTTGATGTATAATAGGAAAAAAAAA